TCCAGAGGTCCTGAGTTCAATTCCCAGCAACCACATGGTAGCTCACAGCCATCTGTAATGAGAACTAGTGCCATCTTCTGGCCAGCAAGCATACATACAGACAGAACACTGTGTACATAATAAATAAATAAATCTTAAATAAAGGGGGGGGGCTGGAGAGATGGCTCAGTGGTTAAGAGCACTATCTGCTCTTCCAAAGGTCCTGAGTTCAATTCCCAGCAACCACATGGTGGCTCACATCCATCTGTAATGAGATCTGGTGCCCTCTTCTGGCCTGCAGGCATACATGCAGACAGAATACTGAGAATACTGTATACATAATAATAATAATAATAATAATAATAATAATAATAATAATAGAACATGTGGTGGACATACCACCACATTGTTATGGGATATTTATGCCTGTATGAAAATGTACTGTGGTGATTGGTGTAATAAAGAGCTGAATGGCCAATAGCTTGACAGGAGAGTATAGGCGGCACTTCTAGGCAGAGAGAGGATTCTGGGAAGAAGAAAGGCAGACTCGCCAGCCAGATGCAGAAGCAGCAGGATGGGCAGTATGGAGATGAGGTAACGAGCCTCATGGGAGAATGCAGATTTTAAAATATGGGTTAATTTAAGTTATAAGAACTAGGGAGACTATGCCTCCACTAAGGCTGAGCTTTTTTTTTTTAATTAACTATTTACTTATTTATACAGTATCCTGCCTGCAGGCCAGAAGAGGGCACCAGATCTCATTATAGGTGGTTGTGAGCCACCATGTGGTGGCTGGGAATTGAACTCAGGACCTCTGGAAGAGCAGGCAGTGCTCTTAACCGCTGAACCATCTCTCCAGCCCAAGGTTGAGCTTTTATAATTAATAATAAGTCTCCATGCCACTATTTGCAGGCTGGAGGTCCCAACTATTACAGAAAATACTCATATAGATAAAAAAAAATGCTCTGGGCTGGAGAAATGGAGAGGGGTTAAGAGCACTGGCTGCTCTTCCAGAGGTTCTGAGTTCAGTTCCCAGCAACCACATGGTAGCTCATAATCATCTGTAATGAGATCTGGTGCCCTCTTCTGGTGTGTGTGCAAGCATGCAGGCTAAATAAATAAATAAATATTTTTAAAAATGCTCACATAAAACATACATTATATATGCTCATATTGTACATATATGTATATAATATATGTGATTTCCCCCCCACTATTTGTGTGTAATGACAAAGGCCTTTCATTTTAGTTACTAAAGGGGGCTGAGGTAGTAGGATCTTTGTGAGATCCTATCTTAAAAATTAAGAGTTGGGGTAGAGCTCAGTGATGGAGCCTTGCCTGGCATACAGAACACCCTGGGTCCAAGCTCACACCCACTGGCAAGCATTCTCTTCATGGTGCCCATCCAGATCGTTTTTCGATGTGAACACTGGACCTGCTCAACTTGCTGTCTATCAGCATTAAGCATCAAGTAACAGACAGATAGGACTACAGGTAGTGACAATCACAATTCCTTCCTCCCAAGAGTCTCCCTTCCATCTCCTTATGCCCCTCCCTACTCATTAGTGAGAACAAAAAATGTGGAGAGCGGGTCACGCGCTTAACACATGCATGGTACTGGGTTCCATAGCCAGAATCGAAAGGAAGGAAGGAAGGAAGGAAGGAAGGAAAGAAGGAAGGAAAAGAGAAAGAAAGGGAGGGAGGAAGGAAGGAAGGAAGGAAAGAAGGAAGGAAGACAAAAGCAGAAAATAATTAATTTAAATCAAATTAATTAAATTAAATCTTGTCTTTTTTTTTTCTTTTAAATGATTTTAAAAGAAATTGCCACACCTTTAATCCCAGGACTTGTGGGGGGAGCAGAGACAAGCAGAGCACTGGTTTGCCCAGGCTAGCCTCAAACTTTCGGTAATCTTGCCTCAATTTCCCAAGTGAAGGGATTTTAAGTGGTTTATGCCATGCCTGACTGGAACTCTTGCCCTCCGTTCAGCTTCTTCATCGCCTGTTTTCTTCTTCTAAACCTTCAGGACTTGGGGGCTGGGAGAAGGCCTAGCGGACAGGAGTGGCATTAGCTAGGTGTGGTGTCTCAGGTTTGCCAATTCCTGCTGAATAGCAGGAGATGGGGCAGGAGTACCTCTAGTTCAAGGTCTGCCTGTGCTACAGAGAAACGTCAAAGTTACTGAAAATAATCCAGAGATCATTCTCCTTATTCAAATATAATTTGTGCTAGATGCAGGTCATTTTATATTTTGCTAATTTAGAACCACGGTAGCAAAATTTATCTGCAGGTCTTACACTTTTTTCGCCCTCTCTCTCCATATCTCTTCCCCTCCCATGGCACTTAGGGTGAACCCTGAAACACAGGCCACGCCTGGGAAATTTAAAAAGCCAAGAGAAAAGCGTGGCTCATTTTCTGCCCAAGGTTAGAAATGATCAATAATTAAGTGGAGGCTGGGAAAGCTAGCCAACCAAAGAAAGGAGCTACAAGAAATCGCTGGAGGGAGTGGGGTCTCAGGGAAAGCCGGCAGGGGCAGGGCAGGAACCGCATGGGAGGACTGCACTTTGCAAAACCCAGAGATAGGAAAGTCCGAGGGGAGGGTACTCAAACAAATGGGGGTTTCAGCCTTTTCTTTCTTCTGCCCAAATCCTACACCTCCTCTCTAACTAGACCTACCTATGGGGGCAGGTGAGGGAGTTAAAACACCCGATCCCTTCCTAGTCAGCAGCAGATACTATTACACAGTGGAAGAAGCATATTAAATAGGTACGTCCGTCCTTAGCTTCAAGAAGACATTACCCTCTCTCAGGACCCTTCTCTCTCCTTTTCTAGTCTTACCCAATCTCTTCCTCAGCTGAAGGTAAACCTTTACGGCAACAATGCTTTGAGATTCCTCTAGAAAAAGTCAAATACTGCAATTCTTGCTCCAAAAAGGGGTAGAAGGTTTGTTTATAATGGGAAAACGAAGGGACCCCATTGCTTTCACTGCTCCCCGTGCCTAGCAAGGATCCCATAAGCGACCCAGGTGTAGAGATCACAGCCGGGACATCAGGTGTCAACTCCCCCCAGCCGGAGTGGGAAAGGAGAGCTGCGAGAAGAGGCGAAGAAGACAGTTTGAAAACAAAGTTTTTACCTGAAAGGGGTGGATGCGGTTCCGGGAGTGGGAGAGGACTCAATTCTAGCGGCCCGACGCGGGAGGAGGGGACATCGTCGAGGGGCGCCGCCAGCGCCAGCCGCCTCCCAGCTGTCAGCCCCGGAGCTCCCACGGCTCGACACGGCTTTCCTCGCGCGGCGTCCAGCCTGGGTCGTGGCCACTTCCGGACTCACGGCCAGCCCAGGGCACGCCGGAGAAGGGTGGGGGGCGAGGGCAGCGGGGGGCAGGCGAGGGGCAGCCCGGCGCTCCCGGGGCCTCCGGCGTCTTCAGGGTTCCCGAGCGACTGAGTCTCCGGCGTGCGCTCCAGGCCCTGCCCGCAAACTGGTTTGCAAAGGAAGTTTGTGGTTTTTCTTCTTCTTCTTTCCCTCGGTCGGGACAAAGACAAATTAGCCAAGGACGAGGTCCCTGGAGGAGGAGGGGCCTGCTCAGGCGCGTGGGATTCCCATCAGGGCTGTCGGAGCCGGTGTGCAGCCATCCGGTGAGCGGCAGAAAGGAAGAGAGAAAAACAACAGACCCTTTCTCTTCCCTCCGCGGCCGCGGGAAGGGACGGAGCGCGTGTGCCTCTCTGGTGAGAACCGGGAAAAGCAAGCGAGTGGCCTGGCAGAGCGGGGAGGAGCGGGGCGGGACGGCAGCAACTGCTGGGCCCTCCCTGGATGCCGGCGGCTGTCCTCTGCCCTGGAGCCACGGAAGCAAGGCAAAAGAGCATCGCGTTTGCCCATTTACTCCTTTAGTGTGAAAGAAAAACCCCCCCGCTTCTGTTTTGCAGTCTTTCCTGCCTCCCTGTATGTTTCCTAAAAGACTAGAAATGAAACTGATTGAGCTGTGTACCTGGTTAATACATCTAGCGTGAAGAAGACGCACCCTCGTCTCCTCTCACCTCCCTGAGGAGCAGGAAAATCTGAAGATAGATTTTAAAATGAGGGAACAAGTTATGACAAAGGGACACCGTCGTCCCCCCCCCTCAATCTGCGCTGGGGCACAAAAGTGGCAGTTAAGGAGGATGTTGGAACCTAGCCTTACATTCTGAAGGCTCCTCTACTGACGTGGCTGCCGGAATGAGACTTCAAGCAACTCTGAAAAAGAGAACAGTTGCAACAGGGACCCAGGAAGCAAAGTCACGGTTGCATCAGTCCAAGAATGGCTTGAGATATTTGTCCAGACTGTAAAGAAAAAGAGGCTGCAGAGTTAGGACGTTAGGAAGAGTTGGCGCGACTGAAGATTTTAAGACGACAGTTCAAAAATTATGCTAATGTTTTGCTAGCATGAACAAACACACCACTGATCACAATAGATCAGTTTGGTAAAGGGAAGAATTAAAATAAAACACCTAATATGGGAAACTCTTTTAATAAGATATAGAGATATGTTGTAATTTAAAGTCCCGCCCAAACCAGGTTTGTGAATTCAGCATCAGGAAGCTGGGAAGAAAGACTAACTTGGGCTACATAGCAAGACTTTATATTTAAAAAAAATTTTTTTGAGAGATTAATTTACATTAATCTCAAACAGATGCTCGATGGCTCGATGTAATATATGGAAAGATACTATACTTAGTCCTATCTGGAAGAGCAAGTTCAGATGCCATAAAGGCGAGTTATTGTGACACATACACAACTTGTATGTCATAGCACTCCGAAAACTGCTCGCTTGGGGGAACACTTAGGAGCTTCCGGACTACATTTCCCAGGAGGAACTGCGACATGCTCCTCCTTGACCTCCCATGAGTCTCTGGGCTCAGAACTCAGCCTCCGCCTCTGGAGGCGGGGTAACGCCGGAGTACCGGATTACGCACTTCCTCCTGGGGTTCGGAGGCCGAACCCTTGTGTGGCGGGTTCGAGTCCCGCCCCCTGACTCTCGGCTCTAGACCCTGAGTCTGGGGCGGGGTGCATTTGGCCGGGTTACCTCTCCAAGCCGAGGGGGGACGGCACACCTCGGGCTTCACCATGGAGGACTACCTGCAGGATTGTCGAGCCGCTCTGCAGGTAACGGGTTCCGATCTGTGACCGAAAGGAATGCAGCGTGGGGTCCGGGAAGGACGAATGTGTGGGATCTGGGGAGCCCGGACGATCCACCGATCGTGAATCTGTGGCGGGATCACAGAGGTGGACGCGGGGGAGCTGGGGACCAAACCCGTCGCCCATGGGCGGGAGAGCCGGAGAAGTGAGTCTCCCTTCGGTCTCCTGGGTCGGGTCCCTCAGTTGGACGAGTGAGGTGGCCGCCAGCCTCTCCCGGCGAGGTGTGTCTGTCCTCTCTCCCCGCCCCTCTCAGTTTCCCTCGGGCGAGCCGAGCTGCTGCCCACCGGCCCCCAGGTGAAGCTCGGAAGTGTGGAGGGTACCTGGGTGCGCGGCTTTATTGCCTCTGAATGGCGGTTTGCCTTCTTTTGCAAGACAGAGGCGTTCCTAGTGTTTTACTTTAAATCTCCGTTTTTTAAGCTTCAGGCCCACAACTTACATTCCTTTGCCTCCAGTGTTCTCCTTTAGTCTCGCTTTACACACAAATACGTAAAAATACCCCTCCTTGGTGAGGGATAAACACAAAGTGTGTTTGGAATCCAAACCATAAGCACGGCTCCAGAATGCTTTGTAGCTTATTTTTGGTGCTTCCTGCGCCAGCTGGACTCACCCAGCCGCGCTGACAGGCCACGGCAGCTTTGGATCGCTATTCCCATTAGAGGCTCCAAGTCACCTGGCCGCCTACTGTGCGTTTCTCTGCCCCTGTAGAAACCTAGACAGATGGCCGGCGTCCTTTAAAATAACTTAGCTGGGTGTGGTAGCCACATGCCTCTAGTTCCAGCACTTGGGAGGAGGAGACTGACGGTTCACCACTTCTGACCAGCTTTGGGGGAAAAAAAAAACCTCAAAAAACAACAACCACAAAAATAGAGAACAAAATTTAAATTTTCTCTGAGCAATATTTTCTGGCCTTTAACAAATCCTGAAAGTCACCTAATTTGCTGTAGACTTTGGGATAAATGAATATTCTCAATTTGAATTTGGGGTAAGTTTCAATTTGATGCTAGCTATACTAAAATTTTCCTTTTGAAAACATCTGACCAGGCTGAATGCCTGTAATCTCAGCCCTTGGTAGATTGAGGCAAAAGAATTGTTAGCTTACGTGTAGCCTGGGTTACACAGTGAGGTCTGAGGAAACTGGGTTCTATGAGACTCAACCCTCCTCATAAACCCCTAGAAGAAACAAACAAATAAACAAAAGCCCCATGGCATCTGGGGAAAGTTGTTTTAATTCATAAATTTGGAACCAGTTCTCATTGGTTAGTTATTGGTGTGTGTGTGAGAGAGAGAGAGAGAGATCCTCCTAGTGCTAGTTAAGAGATGTGTGCCATCACGCTTGGCCTGAGCTCTGCATTTTGTTTTAATGTGTTTGTTTTTAAGATGTTCTTATGTAGCCAAGGCTAGCCTTGCAGTCCCAATGTAGCCAAGGTTGACTTTGAACTTTTGGTCCCCCTGCTTCTACTTCCCAAGTGTTGGAATTATAGGAGTCTACTGTGATGCCCAGCTTGGCTATCTTTTTATTTGCTTAATTTAATTTATATGACATAAGATCTCACTATGTAGCTTGATACTATGTAGACCAGACCAGTCTCAAACTCAGAGATCCACTTGCCTCTGCCTCAGGGATTAAAGACGTGCACCACCTTTAAATGACAGGCTCGCGCATTTGAGTGCAGTGCCCGTGGATTCCAGAAGAGGACACTGGTTCCTTGGGACTGGAGACTGTGGTGGCACCTGATGTGGGTGCTAAGCCCTTTGTAAGATTGGTATGAGTTCTTTAGCAGTCAGCCATTTCTTTAACCCTTTAAAAACTGTTAAATTAAGTTTTATTTATTTATTTATTGGTGTGTCGGGGGCCTCAGCCATGCAGTGGACACATGTGGCGGTCAGAGGAAACTTTGGGTAGTCTTCTCCTTCTGGCATGTGGGTCCCGGGATCAGACTCAGGTGGCTGTGCTTGGTGACTTCTGCTGAGCCACCTTATCCCCTCCTGCTCTTCTTTCCTTCTTTCTTTCTCTTTCTCTCTTTCTTTCATTTCATTTGTTCATCTGTCTTTCCTTTCTTTCCACAAAACAATGGGGTTTTCATCATAGCATCTGCACACGTGCATGCGTGCATGCATGCGTGCGTGTACACACACATACACACACAAACACACACACACAGACTTCATTCTCATCTGTTTCCATACATTGCTGGCTCTTGTTTCTTGAGACAGAATCTTGCTCGACAGCTGAGACTACTCTGGGACTTTTGGTCTTTTTGTCTCAGCCTTCCAAGTGCAAGAGAGCATCAGAACCCACATGGTTGTGAGCCACCATGTGGTTGCTGGGAATTGAACTCAGGACCTTTGAAAGAACAGCAGGTTCTCTTTACTACTGAGCCATCTCTCCAGCCCTGAAAGGTTTTTTTTGTTTGTTTGTTTTTTGTTTTTTTTTTTTGTTTGTTTAAAGACTTACTTTTGAAGAGTTTGGAAAACATTTACTTACTTTATTTATTTATGTATTTATTTTTGGTTTTTTCAAGACAGGGTTTCTCTGTGTAGCTCTGCTTGTCCTGGAAGTCACTCTGTAGATCAGGCTGGCCTCGAGCTCACAGAGATTCACCTGCCTCTGCCTCCCTGAGTGCTGTGATTAAAGGCACGTGTCGCCACTGCCTAGCAAGTTTTCTTTTTAATTACTTGTGTGTGTGCGTGTAAGTGTAGGTGCCTTTGGAGATTAGAGTTCTCAGATTCCCCCTAGAGCTGAAATTACAGGAGGTTGTGAACAAGCCAATGTGGGTGCTAGAAATGGAACTTGGTCCTTTGCAAAAGCAGTAAGTCCTTTTAACTAATGAGCCATCCTTTCAGTTCCTCAATGTTTATTTATTTGTGTATGTGTGAGTGTGCGCATGCGTGTACGTGTATCACAGTGTATGTCTGTGCACATGCATGCATGCATCCAAGGAAGCCAGAAGAGAGTGTTGGATCCCCTGGAGCTGGAGCTACGCAGTTGTGAGCCACCTGACTTGGGTCTTGGGAACAAAATTTCTGCACTCTGGAGAGCAACAAGCACTGTTAACTGCAGTGTCCCCAAACACTAATGCAGAGTGTTTATGACATCATGCTAAGTGCTGTCTGTGAAGATTTTACAGCATCATGTTCTCTCTCCCACCAATTAGTGAAAAGCCCTTGGACCCAAAGCACGAATCTTCTTTCCAGCATTTACCCTTGTTTTGGTTAGGGTTTCTAGTGCTGTGAAGAGACACCACGATCATGGCAACTCTTGAAAATGAAAACATTCTATTGTGGTGACTCACAGGTCAGAGGTTCAGTATGGTAGGCCATGGCAGCGTGCAGGCAGACGTGGTGTTGAAGAAGTAGCTCAGAGTCCTACATCTTGTAGGCAACAGGAAGTGGTCTGTGACACTGGGAGTAGCTTGAGCATAAGAGAACTCAAAGTCCACCCCACAGTGACACACTTCCTCCAACAAAGCCACACCTCCTAATAGTGCCACTCCCTCTGGGGGCCATTTTCTTTCAGACCACCACAACTCTCCTTACTCCCCCCACACCCGCCGCAGATAACAGCTCATCTACACTATTATGAAATTTGGCAGTAGATCTGACTTTTCCAGTACCACACTATCCCAGTCCTTTTCTGTAGTCTTCCTCCAAGGGGCCGAGTCTAGCTCCTTTGTAAACCTGTGTGCTTCCTCCTGAAGGTGACTGAGCCTTAGAATCCTCTCGGCACACCGCCTCACTAAGGTGGGAGTGAGCTGAATGTGAGACCCTAAGAATATTAGCTTATAAAATTGTGACAGTGTATGCTGAGGGATACCAGTAATTTTGATTCTGTTTAATTATAGAAATATTACATAAGGAAAACATCGACACATAAAACAAATATGAAGTGAAAAAGATAAAGGCCTTTTTTTTTCATTCCTGTTTACCCAGTTCCCCCAGAATCTGTTAATGTTTCCTTCTTTAAAAGGAATTTATGTGTGTGTGTGTGTGTGTGTGTGTGTGTGTGTGTGTGTGTGTCTGTATCTATGATTATCTGCCACATGTGCCCTTGGAATCAGAAGAGGGTATTATTAAATCCCCTGGAGCTGGAATTACAAGCTGTTGTGAACCACTCCATGTAGGTGCTAGGGACTGCTGAGCTATCTCTAGTCTCCTGTTAATGTTTCTTGTATAAAGAGATCCTAATCCCAGCCTGGTCTGTGTAGCAAGTTCCAGGATGTTAAGGGCGGCACAGAGAGACTTTGTGTCAGACAAACAAGAGCTTGTTTGGAGGGTCAAGCATAGGAATGCAGCTACGTGCACACCCTTGCCAAAGAGCAGTCTGATAGAGAGGGCTGTTCTCTCCGAGGGCCAGTGCATCTTCAGGAGGGCTGTATGTGGGACGAGAAGGAGGAAGGTGGACACTGGCCTAGCAGCGTGGATCAGCAGTAGTCCTGGTGACCAGTGGGATGATGGATGTCTCAGCCAGGTCACCCTCACATCTGCCTGTGTAAAGAGAGACCAGATTCAGACAGACACAGCATTGACTTCTGTGGGCGTTGTGAATACTTGGCTTGTGCACAGGCCAGAGACAGCTGATAATGCGCCAGTTCTCCTGCAATACCATATTTTTAGTATGTGACACCAGAAAACTTTTCTGCAGCCTCTGCCACAATGACAGTAGCATGGTCCACTTTAAAGAAATCTGCATAGCTGGGCATGGTAGCTAAGATTCAGGTGAAAAGTTACCACGTTAAGGGCTAGCCTGAATTACGGAGCAAGCTCCAGGCCAGTCTGCGCTGTGTTAAAAAAAAAAATTATAAAGAAGTCTGATGTAGTGTCATACACTGTTAATCCCAGCCCTTGGGAGGCACAGACAGGCGGATCTCTGGGAGTCTGAGGCCAGCCCGGTCTGCCTGGAGAGTTGTAGGACAGGAAAAGCTACACAGTGAGACCTTGTCTTGAAAAACAAAAACAAACAAAACAAG